CTCTTTAGAGAAAGCTTTAGAAATTATGAATATGTGTCTCACCTGTCTAGGTTGTTCGTGTAGAATCTCTATCACTTTAAGTGACCTGTACCCTTGTTAGGCAAGTGAATGAAAAGTACATGTGACACTGACTTAAGCCTGATTTGCACGTAGCTTATCTTTGGATGTGGAGACAAGGTGCTGGCCTTTGCTGGAGGGACTGTGGTATAGTGAACACCTTTACTCCAGCTGCTCATATTTTCAAGGCTTTGACCCAATTCACCTAAAGCCTCCTTTTTTTTTTTTTTTTTTGTCTTTTGTCTTTTTTCCGTGTCCGGCAACGGATCGCAACCCTCAGTGTTGCCCCCGTACCGGACCGGGGACCGGCAACGGGATCGCAAGCCTCGGTGTTGCTCCCGCGCCTCGCTCAGCCAGTGAGCAGGAGCCGGCCCGTATGTGGGATCCGAACCCTCGGATGGGAGCGCCGCCGCGCTTCCCAAGCGGCGCACTATCCAGTGCGCCACCAGGCCGGCCCTAAAGCCTCCTTTTTTCAAGCTTGACTGTGTACCCACAATGCTTTTGTGCATAATGCTGTAGTGTTCTTGAGGTTTCATTTTGTAGCTCCCATTACCCTTGATGAAAGAAATTATATTTAAAGCTTCTTGGATGTGAGTAATTGTCTGCAGAAGCCGTGTGGCCAACAAGTTTCTACATGAGCTTGGGTAAAAAGATACTGGCTTTCTCCTTTGTTCCAGCAAGTCCTGGAACTTCTTATTTTTCCTTATTTTTCTCCGAGTGTGATTTTTTTTTTTTTTTTTTTCCTTCCCTGAAAAGCTTTGAAAAAGATCCAGGAGAGGTGAGTTGAATTTGTCTTAGCTGCCGCCTTACTCCAGTTGGTTGGAGGCTAGTTCTCATCTACAGCTGTTTATCACATTCAAGTGAACATGGTGGTGTCCTATGTGGCAATGTTCCCAAATTTATTCTGTCTTCCCAAGGGAACATATATTGTACTTACAGCCTTGATTAAAGAGAGTTTGAGATGCTATATAGTGCAGCTATGGGGAAGGCATGACTAAGTTTTATCATAGTTCTGCTGATTCCTTCACAATTGTTAATAATAGTAATCAAAATGTTAAAGCTCCCATTTACTGAGAAGACTGTATGATGTGCACGATGTGCCAAGGAGTATGTTAAATGCTGTACCTTCTTTATTTCATTACAGACTCTACAAGACAAGGTGTTTTGTTTTGTTACCAAAAAAGTGGCAGTTTGATATGGTTCAACCTAACTCATGTATTTTACACATGAGGAAGCCGAGACTCACACTTTACATAAGTACTGTACACAGTTGCCTGACTCCAAAACTTATACTTCTTCTCTGTATTAAGCTACTCCTCAATAAGACTTATCCAGCTAACCAATAACGAAGCCAGTTCTTCAGGCTGCTACCACATAATTTCTAAGATCTATGGTGTTTTGTTTTTGTAAATCTCAAAAACAAAGTATGAATAAGTCATTTTCGTATTTGACGGGATCCCATGAAATAGATTAGATACCATGTTCTATACATTTAATGACCTTGTTTCTGGGTTTTGTGTAAACAGCGTTTAGCAATCCCCTCTCACATCCTACAACATGTAAGACCCTGTGCACTGCTCAAGATGTGGTTCCTGACTAAAAAGAGTTCATGACAGAGTGAGAGTTTAGCCAGCTACTGTCTTGCCCTGCAGTCAATGTGGGTGCCTCCCATTCGCCCTTCTCTGAGATATTTACAAGGTACCCATTAGGAAACAGAGTGACTAGGTGGTATTGACTCCTAATTTGCATCTCTAGGGAGGAAGCAAGTACTAGCTTTATTTTTATTGTTAGGTAATACATACTTTAACATAATTTGAAAGAATTCAAACCGTAGAAGTGTATCCTGGGAAAAGTGAAGGTGTGGCTCTTCGAATCCAGCTTCCCACTCATAACAACTTTAACCTTTGGTTTTTATCTTGCCTGTCTTTTCTCTATTCTGAAAACTGAATCAGAAAAATGTAGAGGTGGAAGGAACTAAAGAAATCCTCAAGTCTGGACTGGCCGGTTAGCTCAGTATGTTAGAGCAAAGCCTTGTAACCCCAAGGTCATTGGTTTGGATCCCCACACCAGCCACCAAAAAAATTCATTAAAAAAAAAAAAAAAATCAAGTCCAACTTTAACGTTTTGCAGAAAATGAGAAGTCCTGAAGGATTAAGTGGGGTCACCGTTGTGGTAGTAGAAGTGGAAATAAAATCTAGGACTCTTAATGTCCAAGCAGCAACTGCTTGGACTTCAGAGCACATGTTATTGGACAAAAGCAGCAGCATTGTTTAGATCTAGACAAGCACTGATTGTGAAAAACAAGTTGGAGAAGTGAAGTCCAGATTGATTTTGGAATTCATTTTTAAGATTGAGATATTATGTTATCTCAAGTAGGAAATTTTGTTTCTTTTATTGTTTATCCCCTGTACTCTTTAGACAAGTCCGTTTCTTAACTGAGGGGTGTTATGACATCTTATAATAATACATCATTTCTGAGGCACTAGCACCTACAATTCCTTTTTTACTCTGATTATAAGAAAAACTACAGCAGAAATTGTGCTATTGAAGCCCCCAACACGTATGTCAAACACTGTTGGTAGATAGTTGGAAGTTCCACACAACAGGGAAATGCAGCTGACTTCTTTGTTCTTCTCAACAATATTCGGAATCTGTGCTGTAAAATTATGCAAGTAGCATTATATGGCCGTACAATACTTAAGAGTATCCTGGATCTCTGAGCTCTTGGTAGTCTGCAGCGGTATCTTATGAGTGTAATTATAAAGAAGTCAAATTATACATACATACATACATACATATATATATGTATACATACATACATACATATATATATGTATACATACATACATACATATATATATGTATACATACATACATACATATATATATGTATACATACATACATACATATATATATGTATACATACATACATACATATATATATGTATACATACATACATACATATATATATGTATACATACATACATACATATATATATGTATACATACATACATACATATATATATGTATACATACATACATACATATATATGTATTATATATATAATTTGTGCAGTAGAATTTAGTACTGGAAGGACATAGAAACAAATTTAATGCATTTTTTTAAAGTACAAGTAATAAACTGCCTAAATGTATAGCAGAGGAGAAAATATAAGTAATGATTCTAATACATCTGTTGGCACTTCACTTGAAAAGCACTTTTGCTTCCATTTAATTTGGTTTAACCCTCCCAACTCTGTGAAGTAACTATTTTCAGTAAATAGAAGGCTGGGAATCTTGACACAAAGGATAAAATTTTTGTTATCTTTAAGCAGAATTAATAGTTCTCACTGCATTTTGGATTTTGACACAGCCACAGTATCTCTAATTTTAAAAGAGAATACCTGATCAAATAAAAATCTAAATTGACTGCATGGCCCACCTCTAGATTATTTGAGGCTCTTTCTTCAGTTTCAGTTGGCAGTTCATTTGACTGTTCTTTTGAATGAAAATACTGAAAATACAGCTCTTTCTCTGAGTTTCCTGGTGTGCACCTTCATAATGGGTATTTGAAACCTGTTATTAGAAAGTTCCTGATAGTCTATTGGTGTGTGTAAAGCTGATGAATGCTGCCTTTGGTCTATTTATTTGCTTAAGTTTCTTCCATGAGAGATAATTTTCTTACTAACAGCCAGTTCAGATCCTTTACAAAGGTGTTAGGCTTTCATACTCAAAATTTCCTCCTAACAGATTTAGATAAAAAAAACTTTTCAGTGTAGTAAGTGACATAAATGCAGGACTTTATTTTAATTCTTAATATGTATATTTAATTGAATATTTCCCTATTCCCCTTTAGGTGTCTTATAAAGACTTTGAACTTTACTGTTTTGCCATCTGAAAAAATACATGAATTACCTGTGATATTTGGACTCTGATGTGGTTGGGCTATCTCCCCTTATTCCTATAGTATTGGGTACTACCATTTTTCTCCAGAGTATGGGAAGGAGAATTCCATATTCTCCCTTTCTCTTTATAAGGAAATACAGCCTCAGAGTGATTCCATATTCCAGGCAGTTCAAAGAATACTGAACCATAAGATGAGCTTAGTTTCAGGTGAGGCTAATAGTTTTTCAAGCACCAGAATTTTCATTAATTCAAGTAGTCTTTTATTAGGTCCTACTGTGTACAGAGCATATGCTAGGTTATATAAGAATATTTACAGAAGACTACAATATATATATTTCCCATCCATACATGGTAAATTCCATAAGACATACACATTCAGTGCTGTGAGGGAGAAGAGGGATCTGATCTACTTGGAGAATTTATTTTGTATTCAGGAGTAAGAAAAGATCACTTGGGCAAGAACATCTTCTTTTTAAAAAATTAGGCATGGGCCGGCCTGGTGGCGCACTGCTGCAGTGCGCCTCTTGGGAGTGCAGTGGCGCTCCTGCCGAGGGTTTGGATCCCACATACAGACTGGTTCCTGCTCACTGGCTGAGCGAGGTGCGGGTGCAACACTGAGGGTTGCGATCCCGTTGCCCGTCCCGGTCCGGTACGGGCGCGACACTGAGGGTTGCGATCCGTTGCCAGACACGAAAAAAGGCAAAAAGGAAAAAAAAAAAAAATTAGGCATGAAGAGGAAATTGTATTTTTTACAAATTTGTTTTTAAAATTGTAAATGGATGATAAATTATACTAATTATTTTCCTTAAAGGAAACAGAATTTTGTTCTCCCCAAAATAATTTGGCAGATTTTAAAGAACTCAGTAATGTGGGAATCCCCACTGGAGTTATACTTAATGCAGCCTGCCTCAAGTGGGCACTACAAAAAATTAAATATGTTAGAAGTCAGTTATATTTATATTGTTTTTATTGGTATATTTCATTTTCACTGTGTTATTTGTAACTTTTGTCTGGTTTCTTCCTAGTTTAGACTTGGAATGGCCAAATATCAAGTTGAAGTTCAAAGTCTGAAACTGGATGGTGATTCAGTTATAGAAGGAGTAAGTGACCAAGTTCTTGTGGCAGTTGTGGTCAGTTTCGCTTTGATTGCTACTCTGGTATATGCACTTTTCAGGTGAGACTAAAGGACAAAAGAATTGAAATATATATTTCCAAGGGCCACTGACTTTGACTTCTTCTAGTAATATGTAATAATTAATGTGAAAAGCAAGTACCGTAGTCTCTCCTTATGCATGATTTTGCTTTATATGGTTTGAGTTACCCGTGGTCAACTGAAAATTTCAGAAATAAACAATTTATAAGATTTATTTTATTTTTATTCATTCATTCATTCATTTATTCATTTATTTATTTATTTATTTTTATTGAATCATAATTGATTATACATATTTTTGGGATTCAGTGTTGACATATGTTGATCAAATCAATATTACTAGTATGTATATTGTTACAAATTGTACATATTCTTTATGCCCCTTGTCCAATCTCTCCCTATCCCCCCTCCCTCGCCCCTCCCACCACTGATAACCCTAGATTTCTTCTCTCCTTCTGAAAGAGTAATGGTTACTCTGTTGATTTGTTGCCTAGATGATCTGTCCAATGCTGAGAGGTGTGTTCAGTTCCCCCAATATTATCACAGAGCAGATGCTTCTTCTGTCACTCTGAAATGGGCTTTGAGGAGAGAGAGATCCTCTTCTTTATATCTGCTGGTGACTCTCCTTGTGTCAATGCATTCCAGTTGCTGGTGGACCATCTGCATGGTGGTTGTGACATCTAGCCACTTTCACGGCAGCCATGGTTTCAGTTACCCATGGTCAACTGAAAATTCCAGAAGTAAACAATTTATAAGTTTTAAATTGCACCCAGCTTTGAGTAGCATGATGGAATCTCACACTATCCTGCTGCATACCGCCTAGGACATGAATCATCCCTTTGTTCAGCATATCCACACTCTGTACACCACCTACCTGATAGTCACTTAGTGGTTATCTCGGTTATCAGATCAACTGTTGTGGTATCCCAGTGCTTGTGTTCAAATAATCCTCATTTTACTTAATAATGCCCCCCAAAGCACAAGAGTAGTGATGCTGGCATATTATTATAATTGTTCTATTTTATTATTAGTTATTACTGTTAATCTCTTCCTCTGCTATGTGTTGTGATAAACTAAACTTTATCATAGGTATATAGGTGTGATGGTTAATTTTAGGTGTCAGCTTGACTAGATTAAGGAATACCTAGAAACCTGGTAAAGCAATCTATTTAGGTATGTCCGTGAGGATGTTTCCAGAAGAGATTAGCATGTGGGCCTGAGTGCTGGATGGGAAAGATCTGCCCTTTAGATCTGCCTGGTATAGGCAGGCACCATCCAATCCACTGGGGGCCTGGAGAGAACAAAAACAGAGGAAAAGGTGAATCTCTTGCTCTCTCCCCAAAAGCTGGGATATACTCTGCTCTCCTGTCCATGGACATCAGAACTCCGGGCTTTTCAACCTTTGGGTTCCAGGACTTACACCAGGGGTACCCCTGGCTCTCAGGCCTTTGACCTCAGACTGAGAATCACGCCATCCGCTTCCTTGTTTCTGAGGCTTCTGTACTTTGACTGAGCCTCGCTACTGGCATCTGGTTTGCAGATGGCCTATCAGGGGACTTCTCAGCCTTGATAATTGCATGGGCCAATTCTCCTAATAAATCCCCTCTCAAATGTTTATATACATATCTTATTGGTTCTGTCTTTCTAGAGAACCCTGACTAATACAGTGGGTATTGGAAAAACAAGAGTATGTAGGGTTCATTACTATCTGTGGTTTCAGGCATCCACAAGGGGTCTTGGAATGTGTACCCCAAGGATAAGGGAAGACTGCTGTAATAGATCTCTGTGATTGTATATATTTACTAAGATATGAGGGTATTTCAAAAAGTTCATAGGAAAATAGAATTGAAAGGTAATACAAATCCTTCCATGAACTTTTTGAAGTACTGTCATATTTTATTTTCCATTGGGCTCTGAATGCTAACATATTTTTTCTGTCATCAACTGTTTATCAGGTAATATTTTACTCAACATCCATATTTTGAATAAAATGTTCATATTTCATAATGAATTCATCAATTTGTAGGTAATGCAGATTAAAAAGTGCAAAAACAGGCAAAAAAAAGAGACTTGGACAGTGTAGAGTGAATTAAGATTAGAATTCTATCTAAATTAATTAATTAGCTTATAGAATCAGGAGTAATATTTAAAGGCCTCATATGTCTATGTACCAATATGTAGAGACGAATAAAGTAGAAATTAATGGATACAAAATCAAAGCTAGGTAGGAAAAATAAGTTCTAGAGGTCTACATTAGTGCTATGAGTCTATAATTAACAATCATTTTATGTTCTCAAATGGCTAGAATAGAGAACCTCAAATGCTGTCATAAAAGAAATGATAAATTTTTACGATGGCAAATATGCTAATTAATTACCCTGGTTTATTAACATGTATACACATATTGAAATTTAACTCTGTACCCCATAGATATGTATCAATATGTGTCAACTAAAAAATACATAAAAAAATTAAAAGAAGAAATTTAAGAGTTAACACATGAAGATAAATAAAATTTTGTATGTCATTGATACCAGAAATGAAAAAAAGTATAAGATAGAAAAAAGTGATGAATGTGATGAATTAGTGTTTCCTGTAAAAATTGTACAAAGGATTATTAAGCAGAATGTTAACACTTTTTAAATGATGATTAATTTACTCTCTTACCTCTGGCTTGATAGTCTCTTACTTGGATAAAACTAGCTTGATTTCAATAGGGTATTTTATGAAGTAATACTTCACAGAGACATTGGTGATACACTTGTGGACATAAGGGAGAAATGAATGACTAGATGATAGCAGAGTTAAGTTCATTCATAACTGGTTGGCAGGTTGTTCCTAGGAGTATTGACTAATGTCTTAATATAAAATAAAAAGGATAGCCTTGTGTATTGCTGCAGGGCTCTGTCCTTGGGCCTGTTCTATTCATTTTAAATGGCAACTTGGATGAAGAAGACATAAGAGGCATGCTTATAAAATTGTCAGTTGGGAGGATAGCTAACATGCTGGTACAAGAGAATCAAGATTCAGAAATGGTCAACTCATACATCTATGGTCAACTAATCTTTGACAAGAGTGCCAAAACTACTCAGTGGGGAAAGATTTCAGTAAGTGGTGCTGGGACACAGGCAAAAGAATAAAATTGGACCTTACCACACCAAATTAACTCAAAATGGGTCAAAGATCTAAGTATAAGCAAAGACAAAGACCAAATGATCATCTCTATAGATGCTGAAAAAGCATTAGACAAAATTCAACACCCTTTCATGATAAAGACTCTCTACAAGTTAGGCATAGATGGAAAGTATCACAACACAATAAAGCCATATATAATAAGGCCACTGCCAGTATCATCCTGGCAGCTTAAGGGAAAAGCTTTCAGGACAGGAACTAGACAAGGATGCCCACTCTCACCACTCCTATTCAACATAGTGTTGGAAGTACTAGCCAAAGCAATCAGAGAAGAGAAGGAAATAAAGGGCATCCAGATTGGAAAGGATGAAGTCAAACTATCCCGGTTTGCAGAAGATATGATCCTATATATTGAACAGCCTAAAGCCTCTATTAAAAAACTTGTAGAGTAGGGCCGAGCCTGTGGCGCACTTGGGAGAGTGCGGCGCTGGGAGCGCAGCAGCACTCCCGCCACGGGTTCGGATCCTATATAGGGATGACCAGTTCGCTCACAGCGCTCACTGGCTGAGCACGGTGCGGCTGGTCTCAAAAAAGGACAAAAAAAAAAAAAAAAACCTTATAGAGTTGATAAATATTTTTAGCAAAGTTGCAGGATACAAAATCAACACACAAAAATCAGTAGCATTTCTATACTACAACAGTGAACATGCAGAAAAAGAAATCAAGAAAGCCTGCCCATTTACAATAGCCACCAAAAAAATAAAACACTTAGGAATAAAGTTAACCAAGGATGTGAAAAATCTGTACAATGAGAACTACACACCACTGTTGGGAGAAATTAAAGAGGACACAAGAAGATGGAAAGATATCCCATGCTCTTGGATTGGAAGAATTAACATTGTGAAAATGTCCATATTACCCAAAGTGATCTACGGGTTCAATGCAATCCCCATCAAAATTCCAATGACATTTTTCTCAGAGATGGAAAAAGCTATCCAGACATTTATATGGAATAACAAAAGATTATGCATAGCCAAAGCAATCCTGAGCAAAAAAAAATAAAGCTGGAGGCATAATACTACCTGACTTTAAACTATACTACAAAGCTTTGCGATCCCGTTGCCGGACACGGAAAAAGACAAAAAAAAAAAAAAAAAGAAGTTAACCTATATGCCTACAGCCGTCTGATCTTTGACAAAGGCAGCAAGTCTATGTACTGGGGAAGAGACTGCCTTTTCAAAAAATGGTGCTGGGAAAACTGGATACTCATATGTAGGAGAATGAAACTAGTCCCGTACCTCTCACCATATACCAAAATCAATTCAAAAATGGATTAAAGAGTTAAATATACATCCCGAAACAATAAAACTCCTTAAAGAAAACATAGGGAAAACACTCCAGGATGTAGGAGTGGGTACAGACTTTATGAATAGGACCCCAAAAGCACTGGCAACTAAAGGAAAAATAAACAAATGGGATTAATATCAAACTAAAAAGCTTCTGCACAGCAAAAGAAGCAATCAACAGAGTAAACAGACAACCAACCAAGTGTGAGAAAATATGTGCAAAATATACATCTGACTAAGGATTAATATCCAGAATACACAAGGAACTCAAACAACTTTACAGCAAAAAACAAATAACCCAATTAAAAAATGGGCAAAGGAGCTGAATAGGCATTTCTCAAAGGAAGATATACGAATAGCCAACAGACACATGGAAAAATGTTCAACTTCACTCAGGATCCGGGAAATGCAAATCAAGACCACTTTGAGATACCATCTCACTCTAGTTCAGATGGCTAATATCCAAAAGACTGAGAATGATAAGTGCTGGAGAGGTTGCAGAGAAAAGGAACTCTCATACACTGTTGGTGGGGCTGCAAAATT